ATGTAAAGGACTTGCCCACAATGACTCTTACTCAGTTTTTTAAAAACATTGTCTTGCTCTGTATGTTCTGTTGAGATGGAGAACGTAAATCCATTTTCTCCCAGTTGTGTGTGAATTGGCTTTGAGGGGTGGGGAACTTTGGGAATGTCTGGAACTTGAGAGGAATTTGTTTTTCTTTTTTTCAAGTCTTTTGGTTCTAAGAGGATAGAACTTGGAGTTGACCATTCCAGTCTATTTCTCCCAGGAATCTATGATTTTCTCTCTGATCCTGTCTCAATATCTTTTCTTCGCTTTCGTTCTGCTTGATCCTTTCTTTATTCAATGTCTCTTATAATTTTGAACAAATATGTTGCCCTTATGAACCTTGCCATTTAGCCTTTTTTCAGAGAGTTTTCTTTTTCTTCATTTTTTTCCTTGGTTCTGCCAATTCTAACTTCTCATTTCCTGTTTCGTACCCAGTTCTCTTTTGAGTATTTCTTATGTGAAGTTTTGTTTCTTCGTATCCACAAATGCTTTGTCAGGAACATTGAATTCAGTTCAGGATGTCATTTTACAGTGATCCTATGTTTGCTCATTGCTTTTGAGGGGAATTGTTTCATGAGCTGAACTCTTTGACTCTCGAGTTCTGGTTTTTTCTTCTGTCATCTTAGAACACCTGTCTGCTACATGATTTTCCCGTTAACATGCTTAGGTTTACTGAACGAGAAACAAACATTCTATCTAGGAACGGATGAGTGATTGGTTTGGCTTAGTCCATTTCTTAGGTCTGGATCTCTCTCTTTGGTGCAATTCGTCTAAGAGACGTGAGGTTTGGGGATAGGCGGGCTGTGTCTTCTGGATTTAGGGAATCTAGGGCCTGCACCGTCTCCTCTAGGCTGCCACGTGTGGCAGTCAACCCCGGCAGATCCCGCTGGTTCTCCTTGCTGTGCCAGATGCCGTAGACAAAATACACCACAAGTCCTCTAAGGATGGCACATGCCTGAGGGGCAGGTCCCAGCCCAGCTTCCCTGCTTGCCCTCCTCCTGCAGCCAACCCAGGGTCCCAGCCTGATCCCTACTCACCAATCAGAAGCCAGATGGAGAACCGCAGCCAGGTCAGGGAGCTCAGATGTAGCATGAGGAAGACGTTGAGGAGGATGCTCGCGGCTGGAATCAGGGGCACCATGGGAACCTGAGGGGGCAAGGGCAGGGCTGCTGGGCCAGGGCCTGATTTCTTGGGAGTCCACAGAGACTTTCTTCACCTGTGGAGGTTCCAGAGACAAGGGCCCACTCGCCATGTAGAAAGAGGGGGATGGGGTACTGGCCGCTCCCACTCCGTGAACCCTGGTGTATCCTGCCACGGCAGAGGAGGAAGGGGCGAAGGGAGCTGGCTGGGCTGAGAGTGAGGGGTGCTGGCTGGAGGAAGTACCTGAAAGGCGTCCTGCCGGTGCTGTTGCTGGTGGGCCCCCAGGACGAGGAGACTGAGCAGAAACACGACGGAGCTGAGCAGGAGCAGCAGGCTGTGGCCCCAGGGTGGGAGGTGCAGGGCCGAGTTCCCAAAGGCCAGCACGCAGTGCAGAATGATGGCTGAGACCACCAGGACACGGAGTGCCCAGGCCACGGCGACTCCAGGTCTGCATCCACTCATGGAGCCAAGGAAGGGCCTCAGGGCTGGTCACAGCTGCCCAGGCTCAGGGGCTGAGGGCTGCTCAGTGTCCTCCAGCCGTCTGTGTCCTGAGGAGTCCTCATACCCCTCAGCCACAGGGCCAGGGCTGACTGAGCCCAAGGGACTAGATGGAGGAGACTTTTGGAAGCGTAGCACAATAATGCTGGTGTTCACAACAGGGCGGGTGACCAGGGTGCCAATGGACAGGAACTGGATCAGTGCCTCAAGGTCCAGCAGCACCGCCAAGAGAGGCATGAGGAACCCGAACACCAGGATGCCCACTATGGGCACCTGTGTGCGAGGGTGCACACGGGTAAATATCTGGAAGAAGAGCCCGTCAGTGGCCACGGCATATACGATGCGTGGCACAGCAAAGAGAATGTTGAACAGGACAGTGGTCATGCCCATGGCAGACGGTGGGAGACCAGTCAGCATGGTGGACAAGCCCACCTGCGGTCGCTGATCGGGGCCAGAGCATGGGTGGCCCCTTGGTAACAGGGGCATGAGTTTATCTGGGCTCTCAGAGTGAGCCTGAGTGTATGCAGGGTACTGAACTGTTCCCCCCCACCACCCAGGAATGGGACAGCCCAGTTCAGGTGACAGACCCACTGGAGAATCTGATGAAGGCTGAGTCCTTCCACCAGGAAAGGACCTGGCAGCACATGCCCAGAACTGACATTCTGTGTACGATTGGGAGGGGTGGTGAGCAGGTCCCTCCCAAAAAGCCTGGGTGGCGAGTCTAATCATTAGTACCTTCCTGGGCCCAGGACGCAACTGGGAACACAGGCCCAGATGGAGATGTCGTCTTGGGAGGCTATGGGCAGGGCCCCACCACCCTGTCCTCTCCCACCTTACCCAGAAGGGCCTCTTACCGCAGACAGCGCCAGCCGCCACGATGAAGCCCACCCAGCTGTAGCCTCGCTGGTAGAAGGCATCAGCGAGTGCCCAGTCAGGGTCCAGGCTGTGCCTGGGCACATGAAGGGTGAGCACAGTGGAGGCGAGGATGTTAGTACCAGCCATCAGGCCAACTGAGATGGCGATGGCCATAGGCACAGCTCGCTTGGGGTTCTGGCCCTCCTCGCTGGAGGCAGCAATAGCGCCAAAGCCCAAGAAGGCCTAGAAGCAGGTGGCAGCACCAGCCATGATGCCAGAGAAGCCAAACGGCGCAAAGCCGCCCTCCTCAGTGCTCCAGTTCTCCGGACGGGCCAGGACAAACCCCAGGGTGACGATGAAGAGGATGACAACCAAGCTGATGGCAGAGAAGGTGCGGTTGAGCCAGGAAGAGATGTGGACTCCACAGTAGACAAATGCGGAGGCCAAAAGTATGACTCCAGCAGCCAAGAAGTCCGGGTACTGGGCCAGGAACGGCACCTGCCAGCTGCCCACATGGGCCATGGTGAAGCTGCGGATGCCGTGGCTGAAGATGGCGTCCAGGTCACCTGCTCCAGGTGCGGGCCATGGCAATCCCACCAATGAGACACTGGATGAGCAATATCCAGCCAATGAGGAAGGCCCACAGTTCACCCATGAACACACAGGTGAACAAACAGGAAGCGCCCTTGCGGGGCACACGTGCTGCCAACTCCACGTAGCATAGGGCTGCCAGCAGGGAGGCCATGCCAGCTACACTGAAAGACACGAGCACCACAGGGCCGGCCATCTCCTTGGCCACAGTGCCCGTGAGCATGTAGAGGCCCAAGCCCATCGTAGCACCCATGCCCAGCAGGATCAGATCCAGCATGGTCAGGTGGCACTGCTGCGACGTCTCCGTGGTGGACTCCTCCAGTGGCTTCAGCCGGTTCAGCTTCTGGCAGAAGCGCGCCAGGCTGGCGGTGCTGGGCAGTCCCCAGGCCATGGTGGGCAGCTGAGAGGAGCAACAAGCCAGCTGCTGGCACCTACGAGGGTGAGAGAGGAGTGACAGGCTGCCCCGATGGATCCTGACCAGCCTTCAGTCATTGCTCTGACCCTGCCCTGAGGACCGAAGCGTTGAACCACTGGCTGCCCGGAGGGCTGGATGAGGCAGGGTCAGGGTCACAGGGAAGCATGGAGATTGCTTTGGCCTGCCTCCGGGGCAAGGGAGGGAGCCTGGTGGAGGGGGACCTGGCCATGTTTGGGAGGGGCCCTGAGGGTGGGGAGGAGGCCGCCCCAGGGAGCCCGGCTAGGAACCGCTCCAGTGGTCTGGGATCCCAGGGCGGGGTGGAAACCCGAGGCTTCCAGGGAGCTGGGTCAGGGCTCCAGGACCCAGAACACAAGTGACTCTGTGGCCCTGGGTGTAGCCCAGGTGGACACCTGGCCTTCGTTAGAGATGTTCATCCCCCCATCCCCCACCCTGCCAGGCTGGTGTATCAGCTCACCCCTCCGGGAATGGGTGGCACCCTGGGTTCTGTGCCTGTCCCGGTACCCAGACATGCCTCCAGAGTCAGTTCTGTAGTGCCACTGTCCACTGATACCAGATCCTTTGCCTTTTCTCTCACCTGAATCTGTCCCCATAAGCGTTGCTGTGACTCACCTGCTGTCACTGCCACGGTCCCTCTGTGCCGAGGGCCTGCCCACACCCCTGAGCGCCAGATCCAGCACTGAGCCTTACGTCATGGTGACACAGGCATTCAGCCCACCCTACCAATACTTCACACGGTCAAGACCAGAGTTCCCCAGGTTCTAGGGAAGCCTAACTACCGTGCCTGGTTCACAGGTGAGGACACCCAAGCCACCAGGTAACTGACTAGCCTAGGTCACTGGGGTGGTTTTAGGAGGCCTGTGGAAGTGAAGGTCCAAGTCAGGGAGTGGGGGGGGGTCTGGACCCCACCCGCTTTCCACTGCTGCAGACACCCTCCTTGGTCCCTCATCCCAACACAGGTACTCCACCAGCTGGGCACCATCCAGGCCCCTCCACACTGGGAGCTGTGGGGCTGTGGGCGTCAGGCAAGACGCTGGGAGGACGAGGGTATGAACCTGGCTGAGAGGCCCTGGGCAGCGCCTGACCTCTGGGCACAACGGGATGGCAATAAGCACCCTCATCCGCTGACGAGGGAGTGCGCAGCTCTGGGGACTGTTCTGTGAATCGGCAGGACTCACGCTGGCTGTTCTGAGCTCGTAGCTGCACACGATGTCCTGAAAGGAGGCAAGCAGACTCCTGGGGACGACCTCCAGCTTGGGGCGTCCCTAGGGCCCCTCAGACACCAATGACAGCCCTTTCTAGACAGGAGCACCTGTCAAGCCTGGGGGACCCTGGGGGACCCTAACGGCAGCTCCCCACTTGCGGATATCCGTGAGAAGTAGCGTGGACTGAGCATCTAGCCCATGCCAGTCCCCACATCACGGGAGGCAGATCACGGGTCTCATCACATGACCATCAACCCCCCCACCCCCCACCCCAGGCTGATTTATTCCTGGGGCTGAGGCGTCTTTGTCCTTCTGCTCTTTCCACTTCTTTGAAAGTGGAAAGGTGGGTGTGACAGGCTGTGAACTTGTTTACAGCAAAATGATGACAATCCGTGCAAGCAACGCACAACTGAAACAGATATCCTCTTCCCCCAGAACTCTCTCCATGTTGTCAGGTTTCTATGTGGTTTGTGGAATAGGACTTCAGGGGCACCTGCAGGCTGTCTGGCTCAGTGGGTTGGTGACAGGATGGTGGACTCCCAGACAAGATGGTGCCACTTACAACACTCTGCCTTAGCCCGCCCCCTTGCCCCCTTCTGATATTTGGCTGACATCGTCTCGAGCAACTTCTCAGGTGGGCTCCCACTTCCTGCGGGGATGACAGCTCCAGTACCTTGCTCTCGTGTGGCCTAAACATAACTGGGCCTTGTTCTGAAATGCTTTCACAAAAATCCAGAAAAACGCATTTCAAACCAAGAGGCTTGTGCAATTTTATAACAGGAGCTCCCCAAAGGCCTTGTGCCACCCTTACAGGACTCGTGGTGTATTTTGGCTATGGCATCTGGCACTGCAAGGAGAACCAGCGGGAGCTGCTGGGGTTGACTGCCATACGTGGTGGCCTGGAGGAGACGGTGTAGGCCCTGCAGCCTCTTAGCCAGGCACCTGCCTAGGAGCCCAGCCACATGGAGCAGCCCGCCAGTCCATGAGGACCACTGGGGGCCTGCCTGTCTTCCCCTACATCCCCACGAGGCTGGAGGGGCTGGCTGGTTTAATGTGGTGTGAGGAGACGGGCTCCGACCCCTTTTCTGCTTGTTCATCCTCACTCCAATCTATGTTCTTTTCTCCCTTTGCAGATTTCACACTACTTGGCTACTAACTCACTTTGTCTCTCCAGAGTCACCAGCTCAGCTTTTAACATGTGAAATTTCCCGGGACGTTTCAGAGAAAGGAACTGATGGGGTTCAGGGCAGGCCACCCCAAGATGTGCTACCCTGGGATGCGGATCATTTTGAGCTGAAGACAATCAAGGCTAAGAAGATTCTGGAAGAATATGTGACCTTCCCCCAAACTGCCTAAAAGAATTAAGTAGAACGCTGTGTCCCAGGAAGAAGCTCTTACCATAGATAACTCTAGGTGTGGTAGGCAAGAAGGCATCTAGCAAGGGCCATTTTCTCAAAAGAGCTCCTTTGCATCCCACTGGCTATAGATAGGACAACGCAAACATTTGTTTACCGAATACGAAATCTTTTCATCTTTCTATAAATTGCCTTCTCTCACTGTGAAGTCTCAGACCTCTATCTTCCTCTTCTCAGTCCAGAAAGACAGACATACTTCATTTCCCCTGACTGTCTTTGGAATTCTTCATGCTTATGTGACTTCCCCGTGTGCACATATTAAACTTTTATTTTCTTCTGCTAACTTGTCTTGCGTCATCTTTAATTCTCTGACCAGCCTTAAGAATCAGAAGGGGAAAAGGGGGTTTTTCTCCCTCTTCCCCTGCACCTTCAATTTGTAAAAAAGGCAACATCTGCAGAGCACAACAAAATGAGCTATGCCTGTAATACGTATGGTGACTTATCAAATTAACATTTGTTAGGCAGAGCCCTGGGGGTACTGGATGGTGAACCTCTGGTTCAACAAAAGACCACAGAGGAAGTGAAATAGAGAAGTGTGTTACTCCCAGGTCCTGGAGGACCTAGAGGGGCCACAGCACGAGGTGCAGGCAGAGAGCAGGCAGGGAGCAGGGTGGGACCTGGGGCAGACACCTTTATTGGGTTCCGCAGGCAGAGTGCTTTCCAGGCTAAATCTGGATTGGACAATTCAAACCACATGAGCTTTTGGTGAGCTTCCCAGGGGTCTCATCTAAGGGGCAAACAAGGGAAAGCTAGAGAGTGCAGGGAGAGGAGAATGCTTCTCACAAGGGAAGCTGTAGGAACCATATGAGGAACTTACATTTACTTGTGACTCTGTTACCTGGCCCACCAACCCCATAGGAAATTAAGCGCAATGCTGCTCAAAGCAAGGCTAACACATTATCTTTAGCTTACAGGAAACCACAGAGAGGAAGGAGAAGATGGATTTGACACATGGTCAAAAACAGTTAAAACCAGCTGAAGGCAACATGATAGTCTGACTTGACCTGACACAGACCCTACAGCTCGTCATACACTCAGTGTAATGCATTATCATGCTACATAATACACCTACCCACAGCTATGACAAGAAATTCTAGACCAGATAAGGGATGAAGAGGGGTGGCACCGCATTCCCCAGAAAATCCTGCCCTGTTCCCCATATTCCTACGAATATTCCTCCCCTTCACGATCTTGACCCCTTATATATAACACCTGCTTAATCCCCCTAGAGCTAAAAAGCTGATTTGTGAAATTGTTCCCATTTTTCTATTCTTCGGCCATTGAATAAAGCTTGTGCTATAGAATGCTCAGCTTCAGTTTTGTTTCAACTCTACGAGACCGAACAGGAAAGACCCCTCCAAGGAAGAGCTGGGGGTTGTGGGTTCCAGTCCCACCCATGGACTCTTCCTTGGGTCCCCTCTGATTGTGGGACAGTGGAGAGAGGCTAAATGGGTAACAGAATTGGCACTGGATCGTGGGTTCAAGTCCCACCAGAGAGAAACTGGTAACAACTCTGCTGGTCGTCATCTAGGGGGTGTACTCTCAAGAGAGGCTAGTGTCATTTCAAGGCCCCCGCAGGCCACCTGGCCACACAAAATGGATGCCAAGGCAGCAATGCTATGGAGTAGTTTACCGAAACTCCCAACAAACTCTTAGAAGAAAATATAGGAGTAAATCTTCATGACTGTGGGTTAGCCAATGCTTTCTTTCTCTTAGTTTTTATTTTTACTGAGGTAACACTGGTTTATAACGTTGTATAGGTTTCACGCGCACATTAGAATTCGACATCTGTATACACTATAGCATGCTCACCACCACAAGTGTAGTTTCCATCCATCATCATATAACTGTCCCCCCCTTACTCAACCTAAGAAAAATATAAATAAATTGGACTTCATCAGAATTAAAAACTTGTGAGCTTGAAAGGATACCATCAAGAAGGTCAAGCCACAGAACGGAAGAAAATATTTGCGAACCATACATCTGATAAGGGGATTGTATCCAGAATTTAGGAAGAACTCTTACAACTCAACAATAAGAAGATAAGTAGCCCAATTTAAAAAAGGACAAAGGATTGAATAGACACTTCTCCAAAGAAGATGTACAAACGTCCAACAAGCACAGCGAAAAAGATTCTTGACGTCACCAGTCATTCAGGAAATGGAATTCAAAACCACGGTGCAAAGCACCCTCCCCAAGGATGGCTACCGTCAAAAAGTCAGATAACAACAAGCACTGAAGATGACGTGGAGTGACTGGATCTCTCATAGACTGCTGGTGGGAATGTAAAACAGTGCAGCTGTTTTGGAAAACCATTGGGCAGTTCCGGAAAATGCTAAACATGAAGTTACTGTATGATCCAGCCATTCCGTCCCTAGGTATGTACCCAACACATGATAACATGTGTCCACACAAAAACTTATACGTCGATTTTCCTAGCAGCATGACTCCTAGCAGCCCCAAAAGCAGAAGCAATCCAAACGTCCGTCCACTCCTGATGGAGAAATAAAATGTGAACTATCCACACAATGGAATATTATTGCTCCATAAGAATGAATAAAACGGTGATAAAACATTGATAGATCTTGAGAACACTCTATTAAGGGAAAGGAGCCAGTTACAAAAGACAACATACTGTCTGATTTCATTGATATGAAATCTCCACAAGAGGCAAATCCAGAGAGACAGAGAGATCAGTGGCGGCCAGGGGATGGGGGAGGGGGAATGGGAAGCGACTGCTAATGGATACAGACTTTCCTTTCGCGGTGAGGAAAACGTTGTGAAATTAGATCCCAGTCACGGCTGCACAATTCTGTGGATGTACTAAAACTCACTCAAGTGTACATTTTCAGCTGGTGAGTATTACGTTATGGGAATAAAGCTATCATCAAAATAAAGCACCAAACTGTTTCCAAGAAAGAATTCCAGGGGCAGGAAAGGCTGAGTGCCAGAGAGAAGAACCTGGTCAACGGAGGAACAGAGGAAGAAGTCGGGCGACCAGTGCTTCCTCCAAGCTGGCCCCTTGTTCATTTCCTGATTGAGGCAGGGAAATGCGAAACAGAACCAACCAGTCACTTATGTCTAAGGGCTCTAAATGGAGCTGGGAAGCCAAGAAGGAAATGGGTCTTATGCACGTCCTCGTGGGGTAGAACAGGAACCTTTGAAGTCAGTAACGCTGGAAGAAACCCGCAGCTCATCCCAGAGTCAGACGTTTGCCTTCCTCTGGCTAGCCTTATCAATTATTTTTTAGCCAAGATTAGCTTTCTGCTGCGAACCCCAATGAACCTTCTTTGTAATGCAAACCTCCCTCTGTGCCTTTCAAAGCCCCTGACTTCTACTCCCTAGCGGGACACTATCTGGGTTTCTACCTGAATCTCTGCTCCCTGAATTGCAATTCTTTGAGCCCAAAATAAACTCCTCTGCCTCTCATTTTCCTTCATTATTTTTAGGTTAATCGCGCCAGTGGTGAGTCTGAGGCCTGCCCAGCACTTAGATTTCTGTTTTGACTGGAGCCAGAATACCAGCAACAGCTGCAAAGTGAATATGTGCCTGATTTTTTCGATTTGTTCTCTCTTCTACACTGGCCTGAAAGCTGACTGTAAACGACCCCTTTGCACAGCGCGGCCAAGACTTGCTTGAAATCACCGCGGAGTTTCCAGCAAGACACAGCCCTGCTAGTGTCTCTGGGGCGTGTCTCCTACACTCCTTAAAAAACGTTGTTACTGATCCCACCTCTGAGCACCGCCCTACACAGAGGCTGACCTGTACTGTAACCACCACATTTACACACACATGTAAACACGCGAACATGTACAGGCCAGGACCGCGCCAGGCCTCCCCCCGGCCGCTCCGAGGGCCGAGCGCGCTCCCGCTCGGGCTCACCAGCGTCCGGTGGGGGAGCCTCGGGGTCCCCTCCTACAAACGGGGAAACTGAGGCTCGGAGAACTCGAGCCACACGGGAGGAGGGCTCGGGCGGGCCCCCACCGCCGGCTGACCCGAGGCTCCGCTCTCCCTCGGAGCTCCCGCCCTCCGGCCGCTCGCCGCGCGGTAACCGAGCCCCGCCGCGGGGCGCGGAGGCGGCAGGAGGGCGCGGCCGGCCTGGCTCCCCGCCGTTCCAGCCCGGGCGCGCGGGGGACCGAGACGGCGCCGGCGGAGGTTCCAGAGGCCGCCAGGACGCGGGGCGGTCCTGCCACTCACCTGTGGGGTCCGCAGCGTCGCTCGCCTCAAGGACGGAGTCCGCCGTTCGGGGTCTGTGCGCAGATACGTCGGCAACAAAGTGCGCCAGGGGTCTCGCCCCCTGGCCTGGCTGGAAACGCGCCGCTGCCCCCGCGCCAACGCTCTCAAAAGGCGCATGCGCACAGCGAAGGCCCGCCCCAAGTATGGATGCCTCCTCTGACTACGCGTGCGCACTGGGGGCAGCTGTGCCCCTTAGACCCCCGGGCTCACGCGCTGTATCCGCAGAAAGGACTGCGCCTTCCTGATTCGGGCCGTCGAGGCACGCCCTCTCGTGGGGAACCGGCGCAGAACAATTACACAGAGTGTGTTGACTGCCCTTCTTCCCACAGGCATTTATTGAGCGCCCACTGGATGCCAGGCACTGCGCTGGGTGCTGCTACCTAAGGGACAACGACCGAGGCAGCCCAGCAGGGAAGCCCTGATCGCCAAGGAGCGGGTCTCAGCGGTCGGCCACGTTTTCCCCTACAGCTAACAGACAGTCCAGCGCGTACACGTCTGCGGACCGAGGGACCGAGGGGAGACGAAGCCGGCCCTGCCCTCCGGGGTCGGGCTGCCGGGAAAGGAACGGTCGGAGGGTAGAGGTGGCTGTGGGCGCGCCCGTGGGGCGGGGCTGGGGAACGGGACTTGGGCAGGGGACAGGGGCCTGGCGGGAAGGGCACTTTCCCGCGGCCGCGCAGATGGCTGCTCCGGGCGCCGGACCGGGGCTGGGGGCGTCACCGGGGCTGGAGGCGGCCCTGCAGAAGCTCGCGCTGCGGCGGAAGAAGGTGCTGAGCGCCGAGGAGATGGAGCTGTACGAGCTGGTGCAGGCGGCGGGCGGCGCCATGGACCCCGATGTGTTCAAGTGAGCGGGCGCGGGCGGGGCTGCGCGCTCGGCGACCCCCGACCCTCCAGCTCTCCCAGCCACCGCCCTTGTCGGACCCTCTTGAGGCCCAGCGTAGAGTCGGGGTCTTGAGGGAGGCGGCCACGCCTGCCCGCTCTGGCCGAGCAGCCTGGTTCGGGCGAGGAGGCTCCTTGCGCAGCGCGTCTGTCTCTCCAGGATCCTGCTGGACCTGCTGAAGCTGAACGTGGTGCCCCTCGCCGTCTTCCAGATGCTCAAGTCCACGTGCGCCGGGCAGAGGCTGCCGAGCGAGTCCCAGGCCCCCGCGGCCGTGTCACTGCCCACATCCAGCGCACCTGAGACGAGAGGTCAGAGGTGGGCCCGGTGCTCCCTGCTCCTGTGGTCCCGGAGGCGAGGTGGCGGGGATGGGGCGGATAGCGGGGCGGCAGCGCCCAGCCCAGCGTCGGCTTGGCCCTCAGTGGCCAGGCCTTTCTGCTGGTCTTCTCCCAGGACCCGCTGGGCTAGCCAAGGGCTCACCCCTGGGGCTCCGTCTCTTCGGCTTGGCTGCCGCCCTTGAGAGAGCACGTGCAGATCGGTGGCCGCAGAGCAGGTGCCCCAGGGAGGCCCAGTAGGCTAGGCTTCATCTGGGGCTTTTGCTGCCCCAGCCTCTTCTCACCTCTGGGCTCCTGCCTTCATCCCACAAACAGCGGACGAGACTGCTCTGGTCTTCGAGGACTCGGCGCTGCACCTTCCACACCATTTCTCCATCTATGATATGAAACGCCATAGAGCTAAGGAATCATAGAACATCTTTTAGCATAGAACTTTAAAAACAATCTCCTCACTCAAACCTTTCAACATTACAAGAATAAGTAACTCTACTTTTAAATAGTACACTATATATAAAAAAAAGTTTAATATTTTAATATTTTTAAGAAGAACGATAAATATTAATTTCCCCTTTCCGCTCATACTTTGCCTAAGCCAAAAAATAAAGAATATTAGCCAATTTTACCCATCGATTTGGCACCCACAGGAATATATAAAAAAAGATTAAAGACTTCAAAAAACTGGATCTAAAAACATAGATTTTTTTTAGATTTTTCTAAAATATTACAATAAAATTTCTAATAAATGAATACAATTATTCAATAATGATTAGTATAATAATTAAGTTCTTCTCCCCAAATCAATCATCTGAGATTTGTCATCATAACTTACAATAAAATATATCTAATAGTCCCAAAATCTGCACCGTACTCATCTTGAAGTAATGAATATTTGAAAATACTGAAAGTCACTATGGCTTTCTTTCTCATTTACAAATCGGTGATGGCATTTTCAAATTCAGGGACTCTCCTCCGCCCCTGCCAAGTGTCCACACACAATTAAGCAGAACAAGAGATGCCCAATTCTTGAGTTAGAACTGCATTAAACCAGCAGATGACACACCAGAACACTACCCAGAAATGTATGCTCCTTTTGCTACCTCTCTTAAAAATCCCTTTCAGACTATGGTTAATACTGAGGTAATTAAACTTAAAGTATACCAAGACTTAGTTTACTAAGTCTACTATCAAATCAAAATACTCTTAAGAAAAATTCTGATTAAAAAAAATTCAGCAATTAGTTCTCATGATAAAACTATTTCTCATGGCATAAAAAATTAAACCACAAATTAACATTTCATATACTTAGAGTAGGCATATTTTCACTTGTAAAGATCTATTCAAAAAATGTGTGCCTAAAGCAAAAACTACTAGAAAAATGTATCTTTATCTTTAGACTATGCACCACTTTAAAAGTATTCTTATTGTAGCACACTTTGGAAATAAATTTTGCTAAGGGTGTGTTAAGTGGTTCTCAACTTATAGCTACTCAACTTTGCTTAAATATTTTTACACTTTTGGTCAGAATATATTCCAATATGTATTTTTCCAAATATAATAAAAGTGACATTATTCTACTTTACATTTGAGTGCCAAACTAAGGTTTCAGATTTTTTAGAAAAACAGTAATTTGACCTATTTTCAAGGGCAATAATTTCTGGAATATAAGTTGAAAAAAGAGAAAATGAAACTTTATAACTGAAAATTACCAATAGGTTACAACTACAGTAGACAAGAAGCATTAAAGATAAATTAAATCACCACCAAGGTAGGTAAAGAACTCTACGACTTTTTTTATTCTACAACCTTAAAGTAGAAATGTCAAGAACCTTTCCTAGGCCTTGAAAAAAAAATAACCTTTGTGGGTAAGAAACGATAGAAGACACAGAAGGGGTAAAACGGTTTTCTGAAAGCAAGGCAGACAATTTTTTTTCTTTGCTCATCTCCAAAGAATAGTAAGCCATTAATTAAAAGGAGAAAACATGGAGAAATAATAAATGCAAAACCATTCATCATTCCAGTATTTTGGGAAAATATTTTAGCTTAAATGATTGTCATTTGAATGAACAATTTTTAAGTAATAGGTATAAAGAATTCAGGAATACATTTAATATGCCATATTGGCCTATTTCCAATGGTTCCAGATAGTAATTACTTTCACTAATAGGAAGCGGAATGAATATTTTAATGTTAGAACTATGCAGAAGCATAAATAGTTTCTCAGCTAATTTAATTTTTAAATTAATTAATTTCACCCTAAATTTAGTTGTGATACCCAATTGGGACCAATGAAACACTTACCAACATACAGGAAAATACCCTACTGGCAAGCTTAAACAAATACCACAGCATTAATGGATTTTTTAAGTAAATGTTTTCAGGATCTAAAATTCCCTTTGGCATTTTTAACTCCTTCAATACTTCAAAAGCCTATTTTTTTTTAAATGGCAAGCTTGAACTAGTCTAGTCAAATATGCAAACAAAATATTTACTTTTGAAAGATGGGAAGATGTGTCGTTAGGCCCAAATAAATTGGCGCTTAATTAAGAAAGCCGAAGTTTTCTGATTGGCATACGCATACCATTATTGTGGGTGCTTTATAAACACTGCTCAGAAGTTTGGACAATCTCCAAGAAATTTTAGATGTGTAATCGACATGGAGATTATGCTCATGTAAACAACTCGAACACACCTCAATGGGAGAAAAACCATAGTAGCGTATTACTTAGCAGTAAAACTTTTAGGCTACCAGGGACATTCAATTCTGACACTGCTCTCTAGGGAAGAAGGGAAAATGTTTACAAAAATTAACTGAACCTGAGAAGAGCCAAAGTCGAAGAAAAGGTAAGGGGACAAGTGAGGTGGAGGTGGTTGTAAGGGAGGGCAAGAGGAGTGGGAAGGGGAGGGGATTGGGGGAAGGAGGCACTGATAAAATCCTTGGCAACACAAGGTTATTCAGCCTCTGCATACACTTGATACTCTACATGCTAAATCAGATGCTCTGTTCCATAGTTGTTATTATCTTCTCTCATTCCTCTTCCAAAAAACGTCCTCGATTTTGATAGCAGTATCAAAACCCATGACTTATCTTACTAATTGGATTAAACTCTGGAGGCAGTACTAGTTCCAGGCTGATCTAGATAGCTCTTTTGGCTTCATTTAGTGTGTGTATATTTCATTTTGTTTCTGGTTTTTGAAATATTCAATACCAAGTGATGATTATTCAGTGCGGGTTCTTGAAACATAATCTGTGTGGGCAGCTCAAACATTTTACAGACACAAAGTAACCTGCTCAGCACTCGCTATGAATTCAATGTAATTTCACATACCTTACATTTCTAATTAAGGTACATATCCACAGGGATGACTGATGTTATCTAAGAAATTTTTCATATTTTATATTAAAATAAATGTTTATGTTATGGAGTAGAAGGCAAACTTTGCATGAATTTTTAAAATAAAAGAGAGGACTTCAAAGAAAACAGGGTTCTCAAAGAGTCCCTTTGAACTATGCCTCAAGACCGCTGGTTTGTTCAAACTCTTCTGCCATTATGGGTAAACTTGGAAGAAAGAGATTGAGAAGAACTGTTTTCCCTACTTCAATGACCCCTAACAGTTTACATTTCTTTCCCACTATTGTTTATAATACTGTATCCAATTTAAAATTACTACTACAAATTTATAGTCAAACATCTGAAAGGCAATACATCTAAACTTTTATTTAGAATGATATAGAATAAATTATTATTTTAGAAACTTAGTAGAAAAGGAGAACTCTGAAACATATATATACAGCAATATTCTATTTCTGGTGCTTTTACAGAAGTTTTTGAGTGAAACAGCATTATCGCTGACTTTAAAAAATAGAGAAATACTAAGGTCCAGATAGGTATTTTTTTCTAAATAACCATTTTCTCCTTTAAATTTATTTTTGTGCTTTTAAATATCTTTATATACAATTTTTGTTCATCTTTAAATTTTTGCTTTATCATTTTCAACTACACATTTGGTCTATGGTACCAAAACCTACAAAACAAAACTTATAATGTGTTTAAATGTGAATCATTCAAGTATACAACTTCAGTTCTGACAGACTCACAGCAAACGGTGCTTACAGATTTGATATCTAGAAGTCACTGGAAATAGTTACTCAGCTTACCTGGTGCTAATCCAGCAGCAGCAGGACTTCCCATGGATGGGTGAGAGAAAACTTGAGAGAAGGCAGACATATTTGACTGGGACACGTTACTCAGCCTGGAGGTTGATCCTCCTTTAGGAATAAACTCGCTTGCAGTAGGATTTGGTGTCTATTTAAAAATCAAATATAGTAAGTTAACACACTTTAAGCCCAAAAAAGACATTGAATCTACTAGGCATTACTCCACAGTGCTTTATTTACTGAGCAAAGTATTTTATTGAAAGGATTTACAGTGTTTTTTAGTTTTCTTATTTTGGGGTGGTATAATTAAATTTCTTTCTTGCAGGAAATTTTTAATCAAATTTGAAGATAGTAATCATTTCACTTGCAGAATTTAACCTCAGAAACATGTAAAATTTGCCTTTATTGTCAAATATGCATCATTACCAAACTATCCTAGCACATTTTAGAGAACTGGGAGGTTGAGACTACCTCAAAACTGAGCAACAAGTTTCAAATTTAATATCTCTAAACCACTTCTACCAGGATCAAGGTCAAAACTGTCTTTATTCCAAAATGAATCACTTCCTTTTTTGTAAGCACTTGAGACATTTCCCCAATAATATGGTACCATGTATTTAGGTAACAGAGTAAAGACAAGAAAAAACACTTAAAAACAAGGCAAATATGGGAGGAATCAAGATATAAGAAAAGCATAATAGAGGCCCCAATGCCTGCAAAGCATCACATGTACTTTGTTATATTAAAAATATGTTACTATGAGGTTATATGGAAAAAACATTTCTTCACAGTTGTACTATGCCAAACATTTTATATATTAACGTGGAATGGTACTTTTGGCTTTAAAAACTATTAGAACATTATGAGACTGTATATCAAACTGATAAATGGCCTATATTTTCTCCATGTCGAACACACGAATATCCTAAATATTTTTCTGAAATAGTGACCACTTTAAATTCCACATGCTTAAGTATAAAGATTCAATGACTGTTAATGATATCATTTGAATTCAACTTCCAAAAGGGTCAAATAAGGAGATAATTTATTATGTTCATACTTCAGCCCAAATTCTATGTATACGTATAAACTAAGTTTTAAAACACATTGAATCATGATGCAAAATATTTAATCACTTAAAAGTATTTTAGCATTGATCATTAGGATGTAAAACTTAATTTCCATAGAAGGCAGAAAATAAGAAGGTGGACTAATTATTGTACAACTGAAGAACAACTACCCTACTTGATATGAACGACACTTTAAACTGCCAAGTTAGAGTTCAAAGTATTAGATTTGTAAGATAAGTCAACAGGCTAACGTAATTTTAAACTATAAAACAAATATTTTACCAGTTACAAGCCAGTTAAAATTAAATACAAAGTGACAGAATATAGAAGAAATGTTAATCTGGGCTTAATTAAAATATATTAGATATACAGAATGAACATCTTTTACTCCCACATTTGAGACATGAAATTCTGAAAAGAAAAACAATCAGGCCTCAGACAAAATATACTTTCCAAAGAGAAAAAAATCCTCTTCCATCACTTATATATATATATTTTAAACCTTCCAAATTTTGAAGTTTTCAAAAATAGTGGCATGTTCTTTAAAAGTATGGTCAATTCCTTAGTTTCTAGAGTAGAAAATAAGTCAGTGCATTTTACTGAGCTAGTTGAAAGAGAACAAAGGCTACCGACAAGATCATTTCAGAGCTAAATCAGATTTAATCCTAAATCTATTTTAGAAGATAAGAATCAAGATAAAAGTAATCAGGTATTTTGGTTAAAGACTCCAAAACGCCTGGGAGAGATAGGGACTTCAGGATTACAAGATTACTAAGAGACAGCAAATTTAGACAAAGAAAATTATATATGCATACAAAGATCTTAGTAGCATATTCCTGAGAATTAGGTATTACCCAGTTTACATTTCACTTATATCCTACATTCACTGTGAATAACAGACCATCTGATTTCAAAGCTGAGTTTCTCTAAATTAAATCTATTCTAAATTAATTTGAAAGTCTACTTTTAAGGGATCCTATAAAGGAGAAAAAGGAAGGGAAAGTCTATTCTAGTGTTTCCAAACAAACCGTATATATAAAATGTCATTATAACAAATTGTAAAGGGCCTCCAAATTTATAATAGAAGTTATTAAAATTTAACTAAAAAATTTATACACTAAACTGCAACAAGCACAGATGCAAAAAACCTACCTGACAGTGAATTTTAATTAAAAAGTGAAAAGAAGGGCCTAAAACCCTCCCTCCTTCCTGTTTCCTGATTTAAGATGGCTGGGTGGTTCCCTTAAGTGAGCAGTTTCGGAGCTTGTTTTATTCAAATCTAAGTATTTGCGATTAGAGAAAAAGTAAAAAGATTCAAATGGCAAAAAAAAGAATTACATAAGATTGAGGTATAAAACAAAATCTAGGAATGAGAGTAGAGCTACTATTATTAACAGATAATACAAATTCCTGTAGCCAGATTAGAAAACTACCAGAAATAGAGTAATAATGAAAAATTACTATAATAATGAGAATTCTTTCATGACAAAATTAGATAAAACAATAACTACAATAAAAAGATGCATTCTTAAAACTGCTTTAATATTACTAGTTTAAAATATAAATAAGTTTTATAAAGTAACAAAATAGCGTAGGCACCCACATTTAACATATTAATAATAATTTTTTGAAAGATAAGACAAAACTGGTAACTAAAACTAATATCACATTAAAATGAAAAGTCATTCATCAGAAAATAAATAATTTCTTTAAGCTTCAGGAGATGAAGATTCTGTCTAGAGAGACAATTCAAGGACTTGGGTTATATAAATTGTCTAACTTCAACAACACTAAAGAGAACGAAATGAGAAAAGGAATAGTGAAAAAGCAAAAGTTTTATTATTTTTGCCCTATGATTTAGATAATCTCTTTATAACTATCTAGATTTGTTCCTATATTATTAAATTTGTCTTTTTTAATATAGATAATTGTATTTCTATTCAAAATTTCTATTTCTATCTAATTTGTATTTGTCTTTTAAATCCTATTCTTCATTCGTGTCTTCAACATTATAAATGCACATTTGAAAAAAAAATCAATGTTTATTCAAGTCAAATAAGAGATATTCACTTTGTGAAAATTTGTCAATAAAAATAGAATTTTAGGTTCTCATACACTTAAATTTACACTGCAACTTTCATGCCAAAAACAACCAAGTCCTTTTTATATAGTGAGTTCTCCAAATTGACATAATTCCCCAGCATTTGGGTATGATTCCTACCTGTACTCTGGACACAAATGTATTAGATCAAGAGTCCTGATCTTCAGCTGAAAAAGTACTGTTGTGATTATCATCGTTTTATTTTAAATGAAATAATAATTAATGTTTCAATCCAGACATCCCATCCAATCAAAATGAGAGAGTATTTCCTATCTACAAATGACCAATGAAGCTTTTTAAAAAAATGAAGTAATTTTCTGATGAGGTTTCTCACTCAGATTTAATACAATTTTACACTTTTCTACTATTATATGATTCCACGGAAACTTACTTTTAAAGTAAAATTCAGTATTTAATACTCTGCTGGACTCCACTGCAAACAGGATACTTACTATCTAAAACCACAATAAATTAGTCCCAAAATTAGGGGACTAATATTTAATAAACAGTGCAACAAAATAGTGAAGCCATTAAATATTTTTTAAAATTAGGTAAAAAGATAGGAAGAGAAAGATTGAATGAAATTACAACACAAAATATCATGAAATATTTTATGCTACACATGTAAAACAGGTCTGTAAGAAAAAGAAAGTTGTCTTAAGGTGATGTATGAATGATCGAGAAACCACTAACATTCCTGAACATTGGTCAGGTTTTCTTTTTTTAATTGCATAGGAAACTCATAAAACCACAAAATACTTCCAAGGTATAACTCCTTATAATGAGCTCAATTTGCTTTACCTGTCTTAATGGCTTCATAAGTTGTTATCAGTAATCTTTCCATTCTCTGAATGAAACATGACCTGGTGACTTTTTCTTAACAGCTTTATTTAGATATAAGCAACATATAATAAACTGCACATATTTAAAACACAAACTTTGATAAGTCGACATAGGTAGATGATCATGAAACCACTACTAAGTTAATGAATATTAATGAATATTATCCATCATGCCCAAGCTTCCATGAGACTCCTTTAAATCCCTCCTTTCCATTCCTCTCTGCTCCCCTATTTGGTCTCTAGGCAATCACTGATCCATTTTTTATCATTATAAATTAGTCTGTATTTTCTAGAATTTAATATAAATGAATCTTACATACATATGTATGTCCTGGTTTTTTGGCTAGCTTCTTTCGCTTGGCTTCATTAAGATTCATCCGTGTCATTGCCTCTACCAATATTTCCTTCATTTTTTTTACTGCTGATTAACATTTAATAGTATCAACATACCACAATTTGTTTATCCTTTCATCTGATGGACAAAGGTTGTTTCCAGTTTTTGGCTATTACAAACAAAGGTGCAATGAATACTCATGTATAAGTCCTTGTATGAACATGTTTTGTTACTCTTGGGTAAATACCTAGCAGTGAATGGCCTGGACATATGGTATGTGTATACACAAACTTTTCAAAAAATTGGTACGCTGTTTTCCAAAGGAGTTGTACTATTTTAATATGTCCACCAGTACTACCTGAAGAGATCAAATTACTCTACTCGGGAACAAGGCCTTTGGTCAGACTTTTACATTTTGGACATCTTAGTAGGTGTGTAGTAAAGTCTCGTAACTATAATTTGCATTTCCCAAATGATTCACCATTCTGTATCTTCTTTGGTGAAAAGTCTATTCACATTTTTTGACCATTTTTATTGGGTTTGCTTGTTTTCTGTTACAGAATTTTGACAGTAATGGATAGAAGTCCTTTGTCAGATACGTGATATACAAGCATTTTCTCCAGGTCTATGATTTGTCTTTACATTTTCCCAATAGTATCTTTCAAAGAACAGAGGTTCTTAAGTGTTTATGAAGTCCAGTTTATCAAGTTTTTCTTTTATGGATCATGTATTTAGTGTTGGAGCTAAGGAATATTTGCCTAACCAATGGACACAGATATTTTCTTCTGCAAGTTTTGTAGT